TTGTTATCAGTTCTCCTAGATTGTCCCGCTTCAGCAGGGGCATTATCATATGCAGCACCGGCACTGCATTCAATGTGGCGGAAGCTAGAGCCTGTCCAGATGTGGGAGCTATGGTATACCTTGCTTGGGTCCATTGCTGAGTAACAAGGTGTGCTGCGGGGCCTCGACCCACCTGCCTCTGAGGAGGAGGGAGTCCCTGCACGGCACGGTTGCGATGATCAATCATTTCTTCACTAACAATTTCCACTCTCATCATTTCCTCCAGCTCGTCATTCGTGGAGGGATTCTTGCTGCGCACGTCCCTCCAGAACAGAGTGTTCATGTTGAGCCCACCTTTCAGGGCTGAAAGGGCTTCCCTGTCAGTGACCTGTTCGCAGTAAGTAATTTCGTCTGTAAACCTGGCGAGATAGCTTTTTAGCGTCTCCCCAGGGGCCTGCCTCATATCTTGCAGGCGTTGAATTGGTGCCTCTCCTTCCCTGCGTGAGAGGTACTGGTTCAAAAATGCTTTCTTCAAGTCTGGCCAATTTCTGATGCTTAGGGGAGGAAGCCTGCTGTACCATACCTCGGCGGCTCCGCCTAATGTTAAATGGAAGGCTCTGCATTTTAGAGCAGGCGAGACTCCCCTAAGGCTCATTTGTGTCATATACTTTGTGAGGTGCTTCTCCGGACCCCCCTTTCCCTCATACTTGGGGATCTTAGGGGGCATGAAGTTAGCTAGCATTGGGAAGCTTCGAATCTCCCTTGAGAAAGGGAGGTTATCGTCATCATCGTCAATCTCATAAGATCGACAGGGCCCCTCTGACCCTTCATCATCTTGGATGTCCTAGGGAGGTGGAGGTGCTTCTCCTCGACTCTCCCAATCGACTAAGTTTCTCCTCTCTCTCCTATTTCTAGGAGGAGGAGGGGGAGCATGTTCTTGTTCGTGATCCGAACGAACTGATCCTCTTGCTGGGCGGACCCTATTGCTATGATCTTCCCCTATCCGGTCAAAGATGCTTACCGACCTTTGGTCGTCGTGTTCTTGAGGAAAATTGTCCTCCAAGCGTGGTTCTGATGGCTGACTCCCTTGCACATAAGATGTTGCTTCGGCGTTCATCTCCTTTTCGAGGGGGCATTCTGTGTGCCAGCTCATGTGGCCCTGAGAGTGAGATAAAGGGATTTCCTGCACCAGATAAGATCCTTGGGGCCTTTGATAGCTCTGGTGTCCCTGGGCTTGCATGAGGAGTTCCTGCATCGCCATATTCTGAGCTGCGATGTCTCTCATACCCACAGCTATCTGAGCCATTCCTTTAGTGAGTATGGCTGTTCTTCCGCCTCGGCGACGCCGGTGATGCGGTCTCTGATGAGTAACATTGTTATGGAGTACCTCTTCTTCAGAGGCCTCTCTCATGGGATTGTCGTCTTCATGGCTATAGCTCATTCTACCTCTTTTCTCAAGGGTAGTAAGAACTTGGATTGTAACTCGACTTTGTTCTTTTTCAAGAATGCCCCCTTTTCAGGGTTAGTCGCTGTTTTCCGGTACCTTCTCCGATGGAGAACGCAAAACTTCGAATGGGGAGTGTTTCCCACAGACGGCGCCAATCTGTTGACCCCGAAAATCGATCCTCCCACGTAGCCAATTGAAAGCTACTCCACGTATTCCTGCCTACGCACAATCAGCGAATAGTCAGGTGCACACGGCCGGAACCAACGGGGGTGGTGGCGACCGTATACACTCTGACGGTCAAATCAAGTTTGGGTGATCGAAACAGTACCCAGGGGCTATGCAAATCAACAATAAAGGAGGAGGAGAAAATATATAAACTTGCTATGGAGTGCTATGTATTAAGAGTTTCATTACCTCTGCCTCTTGCCAAACCTTGGGTATTTATAGGTGGTATGAACCGTTGGATGTGGAACGCGTGTATACATCTGACGGTATGAAGCGTCTGCTCATAGGCGTCAATCAGCCGCGTTTGTAGAGTGGGCGGACAGTTTGTTTCCTCTGAGTTGAATTGACATAAAGTTGATAAGTCACATCAACTAGCCTCATGGAGACGTCAAATCAATTTAAGCTTTAGGTGCAGGACGAATCTCAAATTGGCGGCGGATCTTCTAACTAGGGTCCACTTGATCTCGACCTCGGAGGTGAGATGCTCCGGCAGATCAGTAGTAGAAATCGCTATATCACTTCGGAGAAGTTTCGGAAGGGTCATTTTCAGGTCAGAATAAGTGGTGCTGCGGGGGGTCAACTTGATCTCGACCTCGGAGGCGAGATGACACTTCGGTATCGAGGCGTGTATAATCGGAGCGTAGCAGTATCTCTGTATTAATGAAATATTTTATTTTATTAGAACAAAGAGTGTTTCTACTTACCCAACGTACCTCAATTGAAGATATTCTTTCACGTAGGAAATTAAATGTTTGTTGTCCACTATTGTTAGAGGCAACTCAGCACCGACAACAAACTTCACCATTCTCATTTGAGCTTTGTCCCCCAAAAACGTCAACGTGCTAAGTGTTGTAGTAACAAAACTGACGGTCAATGATAGACTACCAAATTACAGTTGCATTTGAGATCCACCAACAAGTTCATGTTGAGCCTCATATTTATTGGAGTGACGATTAACGTGAGTGGTATCTACGTCCTTTCATCATGCCAATTGCGTTTAATAGTATTTACATAGTGTTTTACACTATGCGATTGTGTCGATCATATGACTTGTTAAAATCAATTTAAAGTGATCCAATATTTCGTAGCTTTTTCCTCATGTCTCCTCTCTATTGCATTGGAAATATCTGGTGTGCCTGTTTCCATTTTAAGAACAACAGAGTCATCAAAATCAATTAGATTATTACTTCATTGAGTATTCAAATGTGGAATATTTTCAAAAATATGTATGTCGTTGAGACCGGTAAATTCATTGTGAAATTGACTTTACGACATCATAGGTGGTTCGCCATCAATATCAAACAAACCTAGAACAATGATTGTGGATCCATTTGTGATGAATTCATAATATAATAACTTGAATGAAGATGAAATAATGAATAATTATGTAGATATTGGATAATTGTAGGAATAAAAATTGTAATGTGTATAAAATATAATGTAGGGAATGTATTGTAATTTGCAGTGACGAATTCAGCACTTGACGAGCATCGACGACCGCACTTGCTGGATTCATTGGGAACAAATTTTTTTGATTGACAATAGTAGATAAAAGTTTTATTATATATGGTAATTCATTTTACTTCTAAGCATCTCTTGGAGCTTAGTTGGTTGGAGCGTCCACTCATGAATTGGAGGTCCATGGATTGAATCTTTTCCTAACTAATTTTATTGCACATTTTTTCTAGTTCTTCAATTTTTACCAAAACTAATGCAATTACGAGGGGATTCGAATATGTAACCTCTCATTAAGGTTATTGAAAGCTTAAACTTCATGGCACTTGATCAATTTTAACATTAAATGTAACAAAATAATATATATTTTGTTTTAGCTGTTGTATTGCAATTGAAAGGATTCAAACCCATGCTTCTTCCTTTGAATAATAGGAAACACCCCTCCCCCCCAATCCACATGTCATTTGGTGCATATTGTTAAAGCATATAAGAAAATTATATATGTTCAATTTTTAGCAAACTAATTATTATATTTAATTTTTAATATTTTAGTACGGCTGACGATCAACGGTTAACGTCCGTCCATGCTCACTCAAAATTCTAAATCTACCATTGGTAATTTGTATAGTATGTCAATGATTGATTGAAAATTGTAATATGTAAAGAAATGATGAAGGTAGAATTGTCGAATAAGAGTATTAAGAGAGTAAGAGATTGTTGTTGTTGTTGTGTGAAAAAATAGTTAAATGAGGAGAGTATTTATAGAGTAAAATAGAAAGGAGAACAAAAATAATAATAATAAGAGAGAAGAAGAAGATGAAGAAATAGGGATCAAAAACTATTTTAAAAAAAATATTTCTCAGTCACCGTTGGCAACGGTCATTGAACTTTAAAAAGTGACAAAAATAGTAATTAGATCATCGGCATGAGCCTAGAAGCACAAACTACTAGCTCACATGACAAGCTGAGCAACTTCGGCTCACCTACTGAGCCATGCCGCTTGGCTCGTGCTCTTGCTCATCCTAGAAAGAGCCTAAGTAGCCCATGGGCTGAGCTTTTATGAGTTGAGCGGCCAAGCAATTAGATACTATTACTAAATATAGACGTAATATTTATTATTACTGTTGAACATTTTTGTATAATTAATAAACATTGTTGCCCTATGTCGATCACTTGACCCAACAACATGGGCCATACCGTGGACTGACAGATCCAAATAAAATACTTTATAATCACTTAACCTAATTTACACCTCGACACGAAGCTCTTTCTTCATTAAAAAGTTAGGCTATCCTAATTGGAGATTGAAATTTAATTTTGAGATGGTCAAAAAACTCAAACAAAAACACAATCCTTAGCAAGAAACGCGTTTTGTTAGACCTCTCACCTCATCAACATAGATTGTTTAGACCGAAATGCTTGCACGAACACTACAATATCCACAGATAAATCATGTACGCCAGTGTGCGTACATTTTATCTGGGGTTTCTGATATTTTAAACCTAGGGTGCGGTGGGTGGGATTGGGTGTTATTGAACAAGCTTTGACACTTGCTTGTTACCGTCCCATGTGGATAGCATGAATTTCTCTGAAGATTCTGCTGGGGCAAGGATGTTAAACAGTTACCATAATGAATGCAATGTTAAGAAAAGGCTGTGTTTTAGGACCAGAATTTGTGCCTGATTTTTGCAGGCCCATGAGAAAAGGATGTCTTCACATTGTCACTCTATTTCTTTTGTCTTTTGCCATCTCCTGAATTTTTGTTCCCATACAGAAAGACTCCTTTATCAAAATTACCGACCCAACACTTTTATGCAAGTGAAATTGTTCAAATTGTTATGGAATTAACACGTATTGTGCATTTGGTACTCAAACTAATTTCTTCATTCGCGTTGAAAATATTGATAAAGTAGAAAGACAGAGAGGAAATGAAAAGACCTTATTGTTTCACATTTCTCAACAGTTCGATCTGAGGATAGAGAGGCTACAAAGTAAAAGAAGGTAGGGAGATGACTTCAAAAGAACTGGTTTTGATATTTCCTTGTTACCCAACTGAAAGAATTTCTACTGTTTTATATTCTCAACTCAAAATAATCACTTTCAAGTGAATTCAAGAAACAACTTTTAGCTAATCTCCCTGGCAAATTCAAGTGGCTCCGACTCCAAGAAAGTCTATAAATGGTGTTGCAATGGTCTCACCATTTCTTTCCTCTGTGAGCGTTGATGATGATGCAGTATTTTCAGTGACTGAAACCTGATGTGGTGGTGCTGTAAAATCTGAAGGGTACTGATAGTTTGACTGTAGCATTGCAGTCATTAGAGAGCTGGGGTAATGTGGATAAGAAAGTAAAATGTTGCGTTCAACCATTGGACCATCGCAAGATTTTCCCGGGTCCAAAATGGGCATCATCTCACTTGTAATAGGACCTGTGTAAAACAAACACCAAAAGATAATCTCTACCAACAAAAAGAGCGTGTTTGAAAAAAGTACAAATAGGATTTGAGTGTAAACAAAAATTTAGCTTGATTGAGGTAAAAATGATATTGAAATCAGGCACAGAAATCTCTATGCAGAAACTGCAGGTAAGTAAAAGACCTATAGGAGGACAGGAAGTACTAGGCAGCACACCAGGGAAGAGACCAAGAGATGTTTGTGGTGCCCAGAATCCACTGTAAGGAGGGATACTGTAAATCTGGCTAGAAGTTGCTCCTCCTCCACCACCACCACAATCACCGTTTCGAGTCAAAAACTGGCAAGGAGCAGTTAGATCACCGAAAGTTCTATTGGGGTTCACACAGTAAGATGGCATTGTTGATTGAGTTTTGAAAGCTGCTTCCGTATTAAAAAGGGGAAGATCATCTTCCATTGATCTTTTGCATACAAATTGGCCCATTTTTCTTCTTCTAAAAGCACTGGATTGTTCTCTATACTTTCTAGCCATTATAACATGCCAATGATTCTTCACTGCATTGTCTGTTCTTCCAGGAAATAGCCTTGCTATCATTGACCATTTGTTGCCATATAGTCTATGAGCAGCCATTAGTCTCTCTTCCTCTTCATCAGTAAATGCCCTTCTGTTTATCCGTGGATCCAACTGGTTAAACCATCTTAACCTACAGCTTTTCCCTTCATATTTCCACATAATACAGAAAAAGTCATTAAAAAATTCTTGAGCAACAAGAACGACAAACTAGAAGAAATATTGCACGGGGAGAGTAGTACAAGAAATATAATTTTCCTCAAATTCTTACCTGATCTTCCTTCCAGCTTCTCTGCAATGAGGTTCCAATTTTGAGGGCCATAAAGGGCAACAAGTTCCTTCAGTTTTGAGTCTTCTGCAGGCCTCCAGTGTCCCCTAGCACACAGTTTAGATTGCCCAGTATTTGTGTCCTTCCCACTGCTCAATGCATGCATGTTCATCTCATCTTCTTCATTTAAGCTAGCATTTAGATCAATGGATTCATTATTTTCTCCAAACACATCACTTGAATTAGAGGCTTTACCCCACATATTATTATGTCTCCCTTCATCCATATCAGTATCACAAAAGGAGCCCTCTTGAGAAGAAGGAATCGGATTAATTGAAAGAGAACTCAAATCTGCAAAAACCATTCCCACCATTGAAGAAGAACCTAAAGAACAAGGAGGAGGAGTTAAATGACAAGTGAATGAGTTCCCATTTGTGCTGTTTGGTGGATATATAACGAATTTATTTGCCATTTTTTATTTTTATTTTTCTTTTCTGACAAATTGTACACTGTTACAAGGTCATCAGCTTCATGATCAGATGAAAAGGGTATACAAATAAAGATTTAGGAAGATGAAAGGTTTGACAGATGGTGAAATGAAGGGAGTAACCGAGTTTCCGCTGTAGGATTGTGAAAACTTGGCAGCAAAAAAGTGTTTCTAACAGAACCCTCCACATAGACCTCTCCTTCTCTCTCTCTCTCTCTCACCATTTGGAGAGTGTGTTTCAGTGTATAAATATTACTTATATCCTTGACCTAGATAGTTACCCGAAATTCAGTGTTTATACATAATAATAAATTTTTATTTTTGCCTCAAATTTGTTTAAAGATAGTGTTTAATGGTAAAACTCGTTACTTAGATTGACTAGTTAAGGTGATAGGTAAGCATTTGGTAATAGTAAAAGACTACCTACTTAGAATTACTAGTTAAGGGTACCTTGCTGAATGCTTGTATACTTTCTTTGACAAAAATGATGACAAATTAAGCCCCTGTTTGGGGCATATCATTTGCCTCATTAAAATGAAAATTCTAGTCGTCGTACACAAAACGAACCCCATATGAGAGATAAGAAGTCAACCAAAACGGCTGAATGTAATGGTCAACAGTCAAAATTTTCTTTCTTTCTTTCTTTCTTTTTTTTTTTTTTTTTTGGTCCAATAATGTGCCTCAAACATGGGCTAAATTTTCATAAACAATTTTTTTTTTTTTTTTTTTTTTTTTTTTTTTTTTTTTTTGGTCCAATAATGTGCCTCAAACAGGGGCTAAATTTTCATAAACAATTTTTTTTTCTTTTGAAAAATTCCCACAAACTCCACATCAACAAGGAAAATTTCATATGCCATCCCTTCGGTCATAGAAATTATACAAGTAGCTTAATTTATGTAAGTAGAAAAGTACAATTGATAAATCTCTGTTTTTCTTAAGTAAGTTTGTTTTCTCTTAAAAAAAATGTAAATTTTATAATAAAACAATACGACATAATAGTGAAGCAGGCAGATTTTTGGATTCAAGGTCCGTTGATCATGTTATGCATTAGACATTTTATGGAAAAAGAAAATGAATATTAGTTGCATTGAACATAATTTTAGTAAATAAGTTGGCATTTAATATTTTTCAATGGTCTTTCTCAACGTACCATCAAAGTTATGGAAGTCATAAGCTATAGATTACACAATCTTTTACCAAATGTTAGATTTGTAAGTGCCAAAACCAAATTGTAAATGTATCAATCACTATAAAATAACAATTAGAACCAAACATCAAAAATTGAGAGAACAATTTTCCTGACATCTATATTTATGCCTACCTTGAAGGTCTTATTCTACGTCCCCGGTAAAAAAATTAAAGTGATTTCAAGTAGAGTTAGGCATAGTCCGATTCAATTCGATCTAAAGAGTATCAAAAAGAACTGAATTAAAATTTTCGAATATTTAGTAAGTAAAACTGTCAAGTCTAATTGTGGATCCAATTCAATTCGTTTAGGTTAGGTTCGATTCCATACCATAATTAATTTTTTTAACAATTACAACAACACTATACTAATCAAACTAATGACATGTTCAATATGGAAGGCATACTAACAGAAGGTGAAATATTAAAAAACAAAATGTTGAAAATAAAGAGCACAATAAAGAACGGAATGAAAAAAGGAAAACACACAAATGAGCAAGCTTACCTTGATCAAAATGGAAAAAATTCAATGAATAGGGGCAGACAAAAGGGTAAGATGAAGAGATGCGCCGTCGTTCTACTTCGATTATTTGAGAAATTGTAGAATGATTGAGATAAAAATTAGGTCACTCAATTTTTATTTCAAAATTGAATTACAAAGTTGGGTTTAGGCTGCAAATAGGAAAATAATATTTTGGGCTCATTAATTAGTTGGTATATGAAACAATAAATTGATAGTTTTTGGCTCAATCAATTAGTTAGCAAATTTATTTAGAAAAAATTAGAAATAATTTAGCTTATTTAATAAAAAAAAAATAAAGAGATTTGGTTCTTCGATTCTTGGTCTAAAATTGAAAATAGAACCAAATCCGTTGGTTATTGATTTTGATACTCATTTTGATATTTAACTTGAAAAAAATTGCTTGGTTATGTTCGATTCAATTTGGGAACTCGTTGATTTGATTCAGATTTTCTTAACAAATGGGTCTACAGGTGCTGAACTGACAAGATTTTACATGTGCTACTTTGTTTTTTACATGTGAAATCTCATGGGAAAATGTCAAAGTACCCGAATTTTGGTGATCAAATGGGTGACCGACCTTCACATTGAGCATTGATCCCGCATGAATAAAATAATACCTGACCTCCGAAGTGTGAGTATTTGACAATCCCGCATGTCAACAATTATGTTTGTGTAGCATGGTCCAATCTCATAAACTTTGCACTTATAATTTTATCTGTTAAATCATCGTGTATGAGTAACATTTTCCCAAACATGCATAACTTTTTTTCTCTCTAGCCTCTATCTGTACAACTCTTTAGAGAGTAGGGTTCGAGGGTTTTAGGCTGTCTTTCTCAACAATGACAAGAAAGACTCCGACGTGATGTCTGATGCTTGCTTGAGTTTGGACAGATTATAGACACCAATCTCATCAAATTGAAGCATTGACGCACCAAACTTGTCAATGGAAGTAAATGGCTATGCCCTCCAATCCCATCAATCCATGATCTGAATTTTAACTTATAATGATGGGTATCAAAATTGATTATGATAGCATTGCAATAAAATACCATTGTATAAAACATTTCACCGTGCATTGATCACTGTTCTTTACTTTACTTTTCTTTGTATTTGTGAACTTAAATTTTTTGCAAATTTGGTGGAATGATACCTTCATATTATTATTATTATTATTATTATTATTATTATTATTATTATTATTATTATTATTATTATTACTGTGAATGTGTAATTAAATGTAGAGAAAAATATGGAGACATGAAAAAAAATTAAAAATGTATAGTTGAATTGTGTTGACGTTCAAAAATGACCTGGTAAATTTTTATCAAATTAATTGATAATTTGAACGAGGTAATCTACTAGAATAGCCAAAATAATAATAATAGTTTATATTAATTGGAGCATTTTACAAGAGAACACATTGAGTTCAATCCCTTGGAGGATATCCCCTATTTATAGGCTTATAAATCAAGCAACTTGATTGCCCAACGTCATATTTAACTATAGTTTAACCTAGAAGTGCGTGCCACCTGCCAGATTTAGGATTGTGGATTGGTTGTTGAGGTTGACCGAATATATTATCATGGTACATAGGCCGTTGTTGTGAGAAAAAAAATTAAAAATGTATAGTTGAATTGTGTTGACGTTCAAAAATGACCTGGTAAATTTTTATCAAATTAATTGATAATTTGAACGAGGTAATCTACTAGAATAGCCAAAATAATAATAATAGTTTACATTAATTGGAGCATTTTACAAGAGAACACATTGAGTTCAATCCCTTGGAGGATATCCCCTATTTATAGGCTTATAAATCAAGCAACTTGATTGCCCAACGTCATATTTAACTATAGTTTAACCTAGAAGTGCGTGCCACCTCCCAGATTTAGGATTGTGGATTGGTTGTTGAGGTTGACCGAATATATTATCATGGTACATAGGCCGTTGTTGTGGTATAGGTCATGATTACGTGTTACTTAGGTAATTATTGCTGAATTTTGATCAATTGAAAATGAGGTGCTGACATCATGGATTTGTCCTAGTTGCAATGAAAATGTTTCTGGGTGACGATTTAGCATGGGCTAGGCTGACATATCATTGGTCGAGCTGACCTAACATGAGAGGCTAACCCGATTATATCTTAGTTCCCCTTTTAAAGTGATTATTAAATCTACACAAGCTCTCCTTAAATTAAGATAAATCAGAGCTGTTTTTGTGACTTCAGAAACCAACGAGTTGAGTGTGAAAAAAATAAATTTCAGAGAATCAAAATTAAACGAAAGCTAAATGTTGATAAGGATGTGCAGGTGCAACATTAATTTTTGGATTATTCATTGGCACTATACGCTGATAGCATGATTCCAAATTTTTAGCATTTTGGTCAAATACTTTGAAAGCTAGCCTATTACTGCAACAATCCAATTGTGTTTTCCTCAAAAATTGGATAAAGAGTTATGGAGAATAAAAACTACAAAAAGGGAGTTAACCTCATTTATATTTGCATACTTGCAACCTCCTTTGACCAGTTTAGTAATTCTTTAAATATTATTTATTGATATGTTCTTTAATATAAATTACACTATTAGAAAATGAGGCTTCAACGATCAAATTATCCATCGCTAAGGGCCAATATTCCATCGGTAGTATAACTCACCAACAAAATTTTTCTGTCGGGTACATATCAAAAGTTGTACGATGTCCGATATTTTATTGGAGTGTCTTGGAGATATTATATTGAATTTGGTCCTTTGGAGGATCCCCTATTTATAGGCCTATAAATCAAGCAACTTGGTCGCCCAACGTCATACCCAACTACAGTACTAAATATTGAAGTGCATGCCATGGTCCAAATTTAAGATCGTGGATTGGTTGTTGAGGTTGACCCAACAGGTAATCATAGCGCCTAAGTCGTAGTTGTGACCTAAGTCACAATTACCTACCACCTAGGCGATCACTGATAATTTTTGATTGGTTGAAAATGAGGTGTTAACATCATGAGTATTGTCATTTTGGGAGTGATCGTCCTGAGAGCTATAACATCACTCGATAGACATTTGTTTAGAATTACAATGAAAATATTTTTGGGTGATGATGGAGCATGAGTCAAGCTGACATATCATTGGCCGAGTTGAACAAATATGGGTAGAGCTAACCCAATGATCTCTTACTTTGCCCTTTAGAAGTGACTTTTAAATCTTCATAAGCTCTCCTCTTTAAGTTAAGCTAAGTCCGAGCTAATTTTGTGAGTTCAACCACTAACAAATTGATAAGGATCTGCTACATTAATTTACATCATTTGGTCAAATACTCTGAAAGCTAACCTGTTTTGCCTCAAAAATTGGATAAAGAGTTATGGAGGAAAAAAAAAAATACCACGAAAGGGAATTAACCTCAAATTTACGTACTTGCAACCTCCTTTACCAGTTTAGCAATTTTTTAATTATTATTTATTGTTTTATTCTTTAATATAAATTATACTACTAAAAAATGCAGCTTTAGCGATA